AATAATAATAATAATAATAATAATAATAATAATAATAATAATAATAAAAAGTACTAGAAGTGGCTGCATGAAAAGGACTAGAAGCTAGTCTCTGTCATGTCTCACACTGATCCACATCCAAGAAACTCTGTCACAGAATGGGCAGACCTTGATTGCCTGCAGCCTTAGGCCTGAGGTCAGATGGAAAGCTGTAAGGACTTTTACTCCTGCCAGCCCCCTTCCCCCACATTCCCCCCAGGGTTTATTGTCTTTAAATATCTCCATTGTCCACAAGCAGTGTAGCCTTAATTCTAGGAACAACATTCCTTACATAAGCTTCAAACCACCTTCCTGTGGACCCCTCCCCCAACACTTCACGCCCCTGCTCATTCTTGGCTCCAATCATCTCCATTGCAGTCCCTTCTTGTTAAATTCACTGTCCCATCTTTCTCCAAAGCGTCCCATGTGGCACTTGTTGATTTGAATGCTGTCTAGAATGTGGAACCCAGAACTCTGAGTTTCAGCTGAGCATCATACCTGAGCTTCTATTTATCTAGTCATGCTTTTCCCAGAAGCACGTTTTGGAGTCATAGTCACAAGGAGTGCCCTGGAGGTACTTGGTCAGGCAGAAGCATGACCTCCAAAGAGCTCAGGGCCCAACAGCAAGGACAGAAATACAATCCCAATGTACATCAATAATTTACTACAGGGAATTACAAGTGGGTTCTGGGATGTATTTCTTTGAGTTTTATTTGTTTTGCTTGAGAGAGGTTCTCTCTATATAGCTGTTCCTGGAACTTGGTATGTAGATGAGGCTATCCCAGAACTCAGAGATCTACTTGCTTCTGCCTCCCAAGTGCCGGGATTAAAGGTGTCCATCACCATGCCTGGCTATGAGGTCAGTTTCTTCATTGAGTTTCATGAGTTATTCAAATACTCTCATTGAAGGTGTATTCACAAGTTTCAACTGTCAGTCAGATATCACAGCATTATGTAATACAAATGACAAAACAAAGCAAAACAAACAAAAAACCAATCCCTCTCACACACAAAAAAATAGAAGACCATTTTCTGGGCATCACCAGCCACCTGAGTATTAACTCTGTAGCCAGCACAGAATTACCTCTCAGCTCTAAAGAGCACCACGGTAAGTCTGGCTAATGGGAAGCTAGTACCAATAGTTGAAAAAAATAAGGTCCTCAGAACGAAAAAGCTGAATAGTGTTTTTGGAACATTTTCCTTTGGGGAAATCAAGAGCATTAGAATAATTTTAGAAAGGACTAAAATATCAGTTATTGAACGCAGAAGTTCTACACTGGTAGACCGTCCTAAGAATGATGCAGGAATCTGTAAGGAAATAAGGAGATAACTTTGGAAGAGACTCATTTCATGGAAAATACCTATGCCCAAGACCTAGACTTAAAATAAATACAAGAGAATGCTTGTTCTCAAGAAGAATTTCAAGAATATTGCCGAGTAGGAACTTTATAAATTATAAACAGTAATTGTCAAGATATGTTATGAATACTGTACTATTCTGCCCACGTATGAATACCACTGTTAAAAAGTTCATAAAATATTATTGAGTTTAGGATTGAGATAACTTTTTATTTATGCTTACACAGTGTTATGAAAAGCCTTCATTGTGTAAACTGTGTATCATATTGTTGATTCATGGTAAATTCATTATCTATCATGAATACTGTGTAGTCTGGAAATTAAAAACCAGATATTTTGAGAAGTAGACAAATGAATTTCGTATAAACAATGTGCAATACAGAGAAGGAATTTTAAAGCACCATTTTTGAAATTTTCAGTTACTGCTTATATATTAAATTATTTATCCAGTACTTTTTATACAAATCTGGTCTGTATTTAAAGTTAAGCAAATATTAGAATTTATTACAGAATATCAGTGTTCTCCCCCTTTTTTCTGATGGAGCTTCAGTCTAGTAGGATATTAAACTAACAAATACACAAGAAAATGTATATTCACAAATTTAGATTAATGTTTTCACAAATATTCAAACCCAGAAAAAAGATAACCCTCTGAAAGGCAATGAGATAGGATGAGGTCAGTGTTTTTAGGGTGCAGTTGGTAGCAAGATGTTGTGAAGAAGATTCTGAATAAATTAAATAAGCAGAATTATCAGAATACTGAGAGTTAGTCAGATACAAAGCAACAAGAAAAATGTAAAGGAAGACAATCTATTTCATTTTCTTGTACTGAGAAATTTATTATTTTTTAGTTATTGACTTTAGGCTTCTGTTAAAAAAATGGTCCAATTGGGCTCCAAGGAGGTAGGAAATTAATGCCTCAGTTAGTCTCCATTTGAGGGTGAAATCTTGAACATCATGAACAAATCTGGGTTTCTTTAGAGGGCTAGGGAGATGCTGAGAGTGAGTCCACTAAATGATGAACAAGGGTACGTTGAGTTGCACTCCAGAATGAAAACTTACTGAAATATAAGAGAGTTGAGGGTGATTTAGGGAGTGCCTGTAAGCATCATTGTACTGTAGATACTGTCGTTGAACAGCATTGGGATGAAGCAAAGTGAACCTCACTTTCACGAGCTACGTTCATCCCAGGAAATAGTGGTGATTGTATCCTGGACCTAGAAGTTCTAATTTAGTTGGTATGGACTACTACTCCAAGCACTGGGACTGTTCAGTATTAATGTAAAATAAAGGTTGAGAACGACCAATGTGTGAAATAGAAACAAGAGGACTATGAATAAGAGACACAAGGAAGCACATTTCGCCTGTCAGGAGAGCTGTTTTGTTTTTACGAAAACACAGGGTGAGCTGGTGGTCAGTTGAACCTGATCTGCATCTTCATTCAATCCATGGATTCCGAGTCAACTCTCATTTCGTAACAGTGCATCATTTATAGGTTTGCTGGATATTTTTTTTCTATTCAGAGGTAGCTTGTAAATTTGCATTTTCTGGAACTTACTTGGCAGCCTTCTGAAGCCACAATCTCCGTTTATGCAATAAATTGCTTCCTGCCAGGAACAGAGTGAGAATCCATGGGTGTGCCCACTTACCTAGGTGTTCTTGTCTCCTCAGATTTACAGCAGCTGAGTGAAAATTCAGCTGTCATGACTCTGACCTAGATACAATTGGGATACACTTTCACCACCTTAGAAAACCAGAAACATGAGCACTGAATACCAATATGCTCTGCCTTCTACACAGTTAAATACGAGAACAGTATACCTTTATTTTACAAGTAAACAAAAAAGCAATCTCTTCTAAGACTGAGCAGTCTGACATGAAACAGGTGAGCACTGGGGACTCCAGGGACCAGGGAGAACGATGAGAATGCCTGTTAGATTAATTCACCCACCACCTTTCTCACCTCCTTTCTTCAGTTTCTACGGTGGATGCTAAAAAGGATGACACAGCAGGTGGGAGCTAACTTCAGTTTGTTTCAACTGCAGGTGAAGACGTATCTCTACTGTTGGTGTCATGGGAGCAGAGAGCAGTGAAAGTCTCGACCTCCTATCAGTCTTACTGACTGGCATTCCAGGACTGGAGGCCCAACATGGCTGGCTCTCCATTCCCTTTTTCATCATGTACATGGTTGCCATTGTGGGCAACAGCCTAATCATGGCAGCTGTGCAGGCGGACTCAGCTCTCCATGAGCCGATGTACTTGTTCCTCTCCATGCTGGCCATCACTGAGGTGGGAGTCTCTGTGTCCACTCTGCCCACAGTTATGGGCATTCTTTGGTTTGATGCCTACAGAATTGATTTTAATGGTTGTTTGGCCCAAATGTTCTTCATTCACACTTTCTCTGGCATGGAGTCAGGCGTCCTGTTGGCAATGAGTTATGACCACTTTGTAGCCATCTACAACCCTTTGCGCTACACAGCCATCCTAACTCTGCCTCGGATCGTATCCATGGGTCTGGGCACTACACTGAAGAGTGTTGCGCTCATGGCCCCTCTTCCAATTCTTTTAAAACAACTGCTGTATTGTCACATAAATATTCTCTCCCATTCTACTACCTCCACTCAGACTTGATCCAATTGCCGTGTGCGGATACTAGGCTGAACAGCATCCTGGGGCTGGCCATTGTCCTGGCCACTTTTGGGCTGGACTCACTGTTCATCGTGGTCTCTTATGGGCTCATTCTTTACACAGTGATGGGTATTGCTTCTGGAGAGGGTCGGAGGAAGGCTCTCAACACATGTGTGTCACACATCTGTGCAGTGCTTATATATTATGTGCCCATGATTGGTGTGTCTGTGATGCATCGTGTCGCCAAGCATGCGTCACCAGTGGTCCACACACTCATGTCAAGCATATATCTCTTTGTGCCACCAGTGCTCAATCCCATCATATACAGTGTTAAGACCCGTCCAATTCAACAGGGAATTGCCTCCTTGTTCTCTTGCAAGAAAGGATTGATCTGAATCACAGAATCGGGGGGCAAAGATAATTCTTGAGTCTATAAACTCTGCAATTCTCCCACAAGTAAAGTTTTCTCTTAGATGCCTTGCGAAGGAAAACAAGAAAGGAATTCAGAGCATTACTGCAAGCTTGATTCTGAATCACAAGTGTCATACTCACATCTTACATTCTACTGACATACATGTACATACGTGGGCACTCGTGTCCAACTCCTTTTCTTCTTTGATCACATTAATAATAGAAGGTAGGGATAATAAATCCATCCTTTATTCGATCCCAACTCTTAGTTTTGAAGATTTAATAAGATTTAGGTTAAAATAAATTTAAAAAATTCACTTTTTTGTGGTTTATTATTTATTTATTTATTTTAATTTTTTATTAATTACACTTTATTCATTTGTATCCTCCCATAAGCCCCTCCCTCCTCCCCTCCCAATCCCACCCTCCCTCCCCTTTCTGCATGCATGCCACTCCCCAAGTCCACTGATAGGGGAGGTTCTCCTCTTCTTTCTGATCTTAGTCTATCAGTTCTCATCAAAAGTGGCTGCATTGTCCTCTACCTTGGACTGGTAAGGCTGCTCCCCCCTCAGGGAGAGGTGATCAAAGAGCAGGCCAATCAGATTATGTCAGAGGCAGTCCCTCTTCCCATTACTATGTAACCCATTTGGACACTGAACTGCCATGGGCTACACCTGTGCAGGAGTTCCAGGTCATCTCCACAAATAGTCCTTGGTTGGAGTATGAGTCTCTGGGAAGTTCCCTGTGTTCAAATTATCTTGTTCTGTTGCTCTCCTTGTGGAGTTCCCGTCCCCTCCAGCCCCATCCTGAAAGGCAAAGAGGATGGACATCAGAAGAAAAAGAAAACAGGAAACAACCTCGGAACCTGCTACAGAGGGCCTCTGAAAGCCAGAAGAAAACAGGAAACAACCTTGAAACCTGCCACAGAGGGCCTCTGAAAGCTTCTGCAGTATAGACTGTCAAAGCAGATGCTGAGCCTGATGGCCAACTGATGGGCAGAGTGAATGGAATTTTATGTAAGAAGTGGGAAATAGTAAAAAATTCACTTTTTATGGCATTTTTAGGGATAAAGTTCCCTCCTTAATTAAGAATAGTGATTCTGGAAATGTGCCTTTGAATGAGTCTACATTTCTGTTTGCCACCAGGTAGTCATGTTTTAAACATGTTCTTCTTCTGGTAGAACATCCCTTTGCTCTGAAAACTGTCCATGTTTAGACAATAAAGTGTTTGAAACCTGTGAAGCCACTTTACTACATAAGGAACTGATTCTTCCTCCATCCCGCCATGCAATGGTCTCCACATCCAGAATTTACATGTATCTAAAGACTGAGATGTACGTTGAATGATTTCAACCGAGGCATAAAACAAAGTATGAACGGCGTCAGCTGCCAAGGGGTCGTGCTTGGGAATTCTGTCTTCTCCTTTCTTCCTTCCCTTCCTTTCATCAGCTGCAGCATGCTGCGCGGTCTGAGCCGCTCTCCTCTGTGGCCATCAGCACAGGTCTAACTGTTTCTTTTTCCTTCCGCCTGTGGTCTAATAGAAAGCCTCCAACTACAATGGCAATGTTTCCTAGGCTGTCCCTCCCTATTCATCAGTGCAGTAGTCACCAAGATGTACAGAAAGTTTTGAAGTACTTATTTTGCTTAGAACGGCAATTACAAAAACATTGTTTCTATAGTCTCTGTAACGACAGAAGTTTGTGTAGCTTCAGTGTTTTTAGGTCGATAGCTAATATTTTATGATAAATGTATGTAGTCGCTGAGAGCTCATTTTCAGTGATGTTATAGTAGGTTTACAGCACTTCATCATATACTTCATACACGTACATAAATGTTTCTTTAATAATTGACATTAGTGATTTGAGGATATTTTTTTGTTTGGCTTTTTGTTTTTTCTTTTATTAATTACAGTTTATTCACTTTGTATCCCAGCTATAGCCCCCTCCCCCTACCCCTTCCCAATCCCACCCTCCCTCCTACTTCTCCTATGCCTCTCCCTGAGTCCAACGATAGGGAGGTCCTCCTCCCCTTCCATCTGACCATACTCTATTAGGTCTCATCAGGGCTGGCTTCTTTGTCTTTCGAGAACATATTCTTTAACAGATATTTACATCAACACATTTTTTGCTGCTAAATCATTTTTTATTTTTGCTTCTAACAAAGTTTTGACTTTGAAATATGTTTTTGTGTTTAAAATTATTTTAATGTTTATTCTACTGTAAATATATGTGACAAAACATACATACATATTTAAATATGTGTTTTCAAAATAGCTCTTCTATAGTATTTTTAAAGAGCCCATAAATTTGAAAAAGAACAAGTCAGATATACAGAAATATTTGGAGGAAGAAAAGGAAAGGGAGGAATGATGTAATAGTAATCTCAAAAACTAAAAAAAAAATGGTTTAAAATTTGAAAAGTGCATTTAGCATATAATTTATGTAAACAGTAAAAGCATTAAAAATGTATACATTACATGAAATCTGGGTAGGAACTGATCTCTTAATGAGAGGAATACATTTTGATCCCAGATAAGTATTTGTCAACAGATGAAACCTAGATCAGCCTGCATTTTACTTTCTCTTTTTCCTGTAAATGTTAATACTAGAAAGCTTGATAAAAGAAACAGGAGATGGCATCAGTATTGTTCTGTTATTCCCCAGAGCCTTTGCTTAGTGGATGATTCTGGACCTAAATCACACAATTTATGTGAACTCTGCATAGAGATAAATTAGTTCTTCATACTCCTAATTTTCCTAAACTTGCAGTTTTTTAAGCTTATTCCACTTCAGCTCTTTAATATGTAGTGTTCATTTGTCTTTCCATATCACACCAACATCTTTGTCTTATTCTTTCTCGGTTTCATAGTCCATGAAGTTTTTTTTTTTTTTTGCATTATTATGGGTTGAAATTATGTAAAAACTCGGGCTTAATTAAGTTCTAGTATTTAGTACTGAAAGAGGCTATTGCGCCAGTGAGCATGTTCATACATTATAAGAATTTTGAGTTTGTAAACCAAAATCATATTCTTTACCATATGTTCAAAACACTGTGAAGAAGAAAGAAAAGGCTTTATATTTTAAAAATGTTTTTCTTCATCTCAAAGGCAAACGGTTAGAGAAAATCAAACCTAAGCTTAGAAAACACACCTCTTTTATTTTTTAGTCAAGCAATAACGTCTCTTGATTTATCTGGGAGTACCTTTAAGACATCTCTTCCATCCCACACCTTTGCTCTGTGCGATTCTATGGCAGTAATATTTACGCTTGACTCCACGTTGCATAAAATTACTCCTTTCAGCATAAACTTCAGTCTTCAGTGTGCTTTTCTCTGCAAGAGGAGGTGAGTGATTCCATGGCGGATCTGCTTGGTTTTTACACTGTAAATGATGGGGTTCATCACGGGAGGTGCCAGCAAGTAGATATTGGCCATGAGAACATGAACCAGTGGAGAGGCATGCTTGGCAAAGCGGTGAGTCATAGACACACCAGCCATGGGGACATAGAGAACCAGAACAGCCAGCATGTGGGACAGACAGTTGTTGAGAGCCCGGAGTCGCTCAGTCCAAGTGGCTGTGTTCAAGATGCTTTTCAGGATAAGTGCATAGGAGGTTACAACGAGCAGAGGGTCCAACACAATAATGAGCAGGACCAGAGCAAATCCATGCCAGCTGTTGACCTTGATGTCAGCACAGACCAGGTGAATCATATCCTGGTGGAGGCGGTAAGAATGAGAAAGAAGGTGTGGATGGCAAAAGGGCAGGCGCTTGAGCAGGAGAAGGGAGGGAAGGACAGCCAAGACACTGCGGCAAATGATGGCCAACCCAGTTCTACCAGTGACCTCATTGGTGAGGATGGAGACCTAGTGGAGTGGGTGGCAGATGGCCACATAACGGTCAAAGGACATGGCCAATAGAACAGATGATTCCGCAAAGGAGAACCCATGGAGAAAGAACAATTGGGCAAAGCAGGCCTCAAAGCCGATTTTCCGAATGTTGAACCAGAGAAGCTGCATGACGTGGGCAGTGTGGTGAGAGTAAGACCCAGGTCAGTGAGGGCCAGCATGGAGAGGAAGAGGTACATTGGCTGGTGGAGAGATGGCTCTGTGCGGATGACGGTGAGGATAGTGATGTTGCCCATGATAGACATAGTGTAGAGGCAGCAGAAGGGGATGGAGATCCAGAGATGGTCAGCCTCAAATGCAGGGATGCCCGCGAGGATGAAGTAGAAAGGATTGTGAGTGGTGTTGGTTACTTCTGACATGCTTGATGGATGTAACATACAGAATCTGCATTCCATATTAAGAACAGCATCAATATGATAGCATTGCTCATTCAACCAGTACAATCAAGAAGGATATGCTGCAGATTGTTTCCAAGAAATGTAATACTGAGTCATTCAACAACCAGAAGCCAAATACCAAGGATTCTTCTCCCATAAATGTCTATTCAAGATAAACTCATTTCTTTCAACTTGTATTTCTTTCGATGTGCACAAAATTTAACTATATATTTCCTCTGGTCATACACTCTGATGACTGTTGTATCTGTGCACATCTACCTACATTATGATTTATTAACTGAAACTAATCTTATTGGGATTTTAAACAAACAAACAAACAAACAAACAAACTCAAAGTTTTGTCTCTGTTCTACCTGACTGAGGTCACAGAAAGGTGTTTTGTGATATTTACTCAGATGAAATCATGTTTAAATTAGAAACTATCAAGATGACTTCCAAGTATCTTGCTTTAGCAATTTTGTGGATTAAATTGACAATTATTCTCTTATGGAGCATTGGAGTAGAACAGAAGTCTGGAGGCACTATCACAGGTTTATGTGTGTGCACAAAGAGTTTAATATTCATAGGGATAGTTCACAGGAAGTGGTACATAGATGGATAGTACATAGGTCCAATAAGACAGGGAGAAATCATGGGAACTTACATTTTGCAAGTAGCTGAGAATCTAGGAGTTGATATGATGCT